AACTTGACTTTTAAAATGTAGGTTTGTTTGGGCTGGGCATGTGGCTCAAGCGGTAACGTGCTCGCCTGGCATGTTCGGGGCACTGGGTTTGATCCTCAGCACCACATAAAAATAAAATAAAGATGTTGTGTTCACCAAAAACTAAAAAATAAATATTAAAAATTCTCTCTCTCTCTCAAAAAAAAATGTAGGTTTGCTAAACTTGGAATTAAAATAGTTTAAAATTGGATGTATCTAGCTTTGCTTCCCACCCTAACCCCATGCCATTTTATCACAGACAAGGGGAAACACCACACAGACCAGAGGGAATCCTCTGCTGGACAATGTCCCCTATGTCTCTGTCCACCCTCACTTCCCTCATCCATGAAACCCTCCACCATTTTACACCCTATGGGCTCAACCAGCACTCAAGTTATTTCCAACAGCATCCTCTTTCCTCTGTGGCTTTAATTCACACTGTTTCCCACACCTTAAAGAAATTTTCCGCAACCTTTACATTTTGAAATATTATACATCCTTCAAAAATACTCAATTACTTTGTCTCTAAGCCTTGATAATTCATCACCTATACCTCCAAACTTCTGTCTAGTACTTCATGTCTGCTTTGGTCAGCTTTTTTGCTGCTGTGATTAAATGACCTGACCAGAAAAATTATAGAGGAGGAAAAGTTTATTTGAGGGCTCATGGTTTCAGAGGTCTTAGTCCATAGAAGGCCAACTTCATTCCTCAGAACTCGAGGTGAGGCTGAACATCATGGCAGAAGAGTGTGGCAGAGGGAAGCGGCTCACATGATGATCAGAGAGCAGAGAGAAAGATCTCCACTTGCCAGATACAAATATATACCCAAAGCCACACCTTAATTCCCACTCCTCCTGCCACACCCTAGCACTTCAGTTACCACTCAGTTAATCCCTATCAGGGGATTAATCACTGATTGGGTTAAGACTCTTACAACCCAATCATTTCTCCTCTGAACCTTCTTGCCTTGTCTCACAGGTGAGCTTTTGGGAGACACCTGACATCCAAACTATAACAATGTCTTTAAATGGTAAATCTGTCATTCTGTGGCTATGATCAACATTTATATTGTATATAATAATGAGTAAATGGATCATTTGCTCTGTCTCCTTCTCAGCAAACTTTATATCCTATTTTTCTTGGAAACCAGAAGCCATAAAATAATCACCCCAATTTCTTTCCACCCACCTACAAAGCACTTATATCTCTATATATCATGTACCTCCCTGACTCCCCTAAATGAATCTCTTTCTAACTCTGAAACTCCTCTCATCCCTGACAAAAGCCCTATTCCATGAATCACCTCCTTTCTTCTAAATTGGTAACCTCTTGATCTCTGCTGATTTCTCAGATCAGGGAAGATCCGTGAGAAATATCAACATCAATCATCCTCAAGCTGAGGCCCTAACAGTTGTGCTGATAACTCCTCAAGAGAAGAAACCCTGAAGAGCACAAGCCATGCTTTGGAAGGGAAATAAATCACAAACACATTAATCAGGCAACAGACAATCATACCCACCCATCAATGAGACACAGAGGACGGAAAGTTGACTCCAGGGCAGCCCCACCCTGCTCACTGTCAGTGGCTGCCCCTTGAGATGTTCCTGAACTATGAACACCTGCTAATTCCACCTGGCCTCTGATCAAGGCAACAATGTCCACCTGCGCGGGGGATGAAGCCCAAGCCACGAGTCCAGGTCGTCTTTCAGTTCCTTCAGCTCATCAGCCTCTCCCCTGCCTTTGAGCTGTCTGCAGCGCTCTCCCTGTCTTCCCGCTCCCTCCACCCCTCTCCTCATCATGGCTGGCTCCTGCTTCTTCACCTTCCATCACCACTTGTTTCTACAGGGTCCTTCAAAAAATTTCTCAAGACTCATTATTTTCACTTGTTTGTTCTTATTGTCTATTCTCCCCACTGGGTTCGGAACTCCATGAGGACCATGATCATGTACCTTATTTGCTATTAGGTTCTCAACATCTGGTACATGGAAAGCACTCAGAAAAGTGTGGAATGAATGAATGAAATACACACACACACACACACACACACACACACACACACACACTAGCTCAGTGTTCCAGAGGCTCTGAGAGAAGAAGCTTAACAGAACCACCCAAGGGTCTTATTTAAATGCCCCAATCCTAAACCCCTTCCCTAACTACATTCTCCATATTCAAATTCAGATGCACCATTGTCAAGATTGCAAGGGGATGTAGATACATAGGCATATCATGTGCCCCTCACAGCCCTCCGGACTCTGGCATAGAGTGAAAGGTATGATGTCAGTAATTACTGTGAGAGGGGCGTGGTCATGAGTAATTGAGAAAAGTCATCAAGTAACTGTAGCACATCATCTCCGGGCTGCTGTGAGAATCACTGCTCTAGGTACGTAATTCCCAAGCCCTTGATATTCCTCAGATCTTTAGATGTAGCTGCTTGTCAGCTCTCAAAGTCCTGACCTTTCAGCCAATCTCAAATAGTCTTATCCTCACATGTGGGCGACTACTTTTCTCATTAAAAATTTCTTAATCTTTAACAATCTTTCCCCTAGCACAGGGACCTTTCATCATTAAGCATATCAAAGCATTCTATTTGAAGAAGAGCTCTAATATTGATTAAATGGAAAGCAAAGCTATTAAATGTCATCATCATTAGTGTAAAATATTATTCAAACCATTCACTTAAAATCTAGGTCCCCAGACAAAATTTTGGGGAAAAGCCTTTTTATACCCATTCCACAGATTCCCCATCATAAATCTCCCATAACTAGTTTTCCACACTCTTCAGTGTTATTAAACAAGAAAGGAAGGATGATATAGTACAGGTAGAGGTGAGGGGGACAAGTCAAGAGGGGTGAGAGCAGGGTTTGTATTATTTTCTTTGAATTATAAATTCCTCCAACAGCTTTCTTTGGGGGAACATTCCAGGTCAAGATAGGGAACAGTTATCCCCGAGGGTCCTGCCTGTGCACTAATGGATGACTAAAGCAATTTCCTGGTCTTGTCTATTTAGGACCGACACAGATAGGAAAAAAATAAGACGCTCAATGAGTTTATGATTTTTAACTGAAATGATTTATGGAAAAGTAGCAGACAGTTAAAATATTAAATAATTCTGTACAGTTTTTCAAAACTGAAACATTTTAATCATAAATAAATCTATCATGATCCCCTCCCTCTGTCCTCGGAAAAAAAAATGCATATTAGTCTCCACTGAGCTAATTTTTATTAAAGAAAGAAGTTCTTTCCTGGGAATCAACAGCCTGTTGACATGGAGAGTAAAGACAAAGAGAGTAAGGGATTAAAGCTGAAACCATGATGAGGACTGGGTGATTTAAGCAAATTGCATAATCTCCCCTGGCTTCTGTTTCCTATTCTGAAAAATGGAAATAATATCTATCTTGCAAGATCAGGAAGATTAAGTGTGCTAATAGTAATAATAAGAATACCGCCACTGGTTCTGGCGTGTGAAGTGTTTTCGATCAGCACGCTCCCTCTCCCCATGAATCAGTGAGGGGCTTTATTTTTGAATCTGCTGTTATTCAGGTGCCTCTTGTGTTTGGATTAGGAAGCCGTCAGCATCTGTTCCTCTCATGATGCTGCTTCTTAAATGTTACTTAATCTGGTTTAAGCCTTTGGAAATGTGACCTCAGGTGAGGATCCAGAAGCACTTAAAAGTATAACTAACATTGAATATATTTTTATTTCTTGGGTTGAATTCGCCCCCACCAATTTTTGTTTGTTCCTTTCAAAAATTATTATTTTGAGAAACTTACATGACTGTTTTTCCTGGGATAGAGAAATTCTTCAAGATTGTGTATTTGCTAGTGGCAACAAACAGGTCTCATACTCTTAAAGCACCTGATAAAACAATTTCCCTTTCTTTGTACAGACAACCCCCAAAGAGTCCATCTTTAAAATCAATGTATATCTTCTTACCGAGGGCTTGCCTTGAGTTCTGATTCTTCAAATTGCTCTTAATGTGGCTAAAATATGAAACAATTGACCTTTTATTGGCCTGATCTGCTAAAGTTCTCCAGAGAAGCCACATCTATTTTAAAGCTCCTGCAGTTTTTTTTTACTTCAGTTGTGTAGAACCATATGATTGTGGAGAAATGAAATGTTCCATTTTCAAAGTCAAAATTGTCTTGGACTATCTTAAGCCCTTTAGAAAAATGCCTTTTAACCTTTTAACCTTTGTGCCTGACCTAATATTATTGTGATTATTAGGTAACCTCCCAGAATGTATTATTAGGCTTAGAAGACCTCTAACTTCCACCAACCTTAAAGCTAAGAAGGCTGTAAGATAAAATCTAAAACGTCTAGAAAATATTTCACCATTTTATTGTAGCCCAGCTACCTGATGCCCCCACTGATTTGTTTGTTGAATATATTGATTTATGTCTTTCTTTATTTTATGGCTATAAAATTTCAAATAACCTCTTCCACTTCAGAGCATCTCATTCAAGGCAACTTGAATCGATTTTCCCAGGACATGGACACTCATGTTCGGTGTAGAATAAACCATTTCTTGTTTCCTTTGAAGCAGAGTTGTTATTTTATATTGGCAGGCCTTGGGGCTAAAATTAAGGAATCTAGCTAAAGATTTCAGTAAACAAAATAATATCACCTCAAGTTCAGCCATCTCTATCTTATAGTCTCTCACCTTTCACACACACATCTCTTTCTCTCTGTCTCTGTCTCTCTGTCTCTCTCTCTCTCTCTCTCTCTCTCTCTCTCNCACACACACACACACACACACACACACACACACAGCTCAAACCACAGCAATCAAAGAACACTGGAGTATACTAAAGCTGGTGTGGCAAACTCCTAATTAATGATCAAAACTCCTTGGAGCTAAGGTGCCTTTCTCCCAATAGACTACTATTTTTAAAATATTTCTCTTTGAAAACAACAGCATGATTGATCTCATCGTTCCTACTTAAATTACTTACATAGAAGAAACAAAAATGCACTGTGCACAATTATTAAAAACACTTTAATATGTATAATTTGTACATGCTTCAATTCATGTTTCTTAGAGTGATTTATTCTCCAGGTTGTGAGGTTCTCTACCAAGATTAACTAGATCTAATTTTCATTCTGCCATGCCACTTACAAAAATACAATTTTTAAAGCAAAGTTCCTCTTCTTTACACAAAGGTACACAAGAGTTTGTCAGACCAAAAAAAAAAAAATGAGAGAAGAATACTTTGCACACATGTCAACACCATACAAGGCATTATCCTTCACACAGTAACATCAAATGTGTTCTTTTATTTTGGAACAGCAGGAAAAGAGCCCCTTCACCCTCAGAGGGGAATGCAAACTTTATTTTTGCTAAAGCCAAACTCCAGGGATGAAGGCATGATCCTCTTGGGGACAGGGGGAAAGGAGACATATGGTGAAGGATGGACACTCCTTCATAAGCACTTCAAGAGGAAGGAATTGCAGGAGGTTCCTCGGGGACAGTCACACAGCTTCCCGATCCTGGCTCCTTTTCGAACTGCACACTGCTCTCCAGCGTCACACTGCAAACAACACAGATGTGGTCATTGGGGTCCCAACAGGCAAGTGCATGTGGGACCCAACCAGCAAGTCTCCCAGTCAACGCAATTTCTGCCTCTAGAGAGGACTGACTGAACCCCATCTCCATCACCAGAGGTTTAAGTATAGTCAGGCCTGAAACACAGGGAAACTTGTTCTTAGAATTTCAATGAGAGGAAATTTCTTTTAAAGAAGTTTAAATGATTGGTCCCTTCCTATCTTCTTCCACCTTTCCAAGGGATCCCATTTCCTGGCCCTTTTTCTTGTTTATTCAGAGGAAGAAACAATCAGACCATTTTCTTTTCTGAGAAATAAACAATAAACCTGTACTTTCTCACAACCTTTATTCCTTCCCCCCCCCCATTTCCTTATCCCAAGAAGGAAGATAGTAGGTGGGTGGGGTTACCCTGAGCTATCCACTGAAGATGACAGCTTGAGTGTTTGACCCCAGAACTTAAATTTTAAAAGAAAAACTGCTTGTGCTCTGGAACACAGGAAGAAATTAGGGTAGCAGGAACTGAGTAGATTCAAGGTCTCTTCCAACTCAGGGAATTCTTCTCTAGGTGAAGAATTCATCTTCAGTTAATACTCCTTCCGACACAGATTCTAGGACTGGTTCCTGCCAACGCTGTTCCCTTTCTGTAATAGCCTACCTTTGCCCTTAAAGAACAAGGGACAAGGACTGGTGGTGAAAGCAAAGGGGACCTCACAGAATAATGCACACCCATTACCAGTGTTATTCGGCCACAACCTCCCATGAAGTTGTGATTAAGATTCAAGGCGCTGTGTTTTCTCTTGGAAAAACATGGGGAGGGGTGACCCCAGAGCCTTACCATAGGGACTTGCCCGTACTTCTTCTCATAGATGGGAATACGTTTACTCTTCAGCTTCTTCAAGACTTCCTGCAGCGCTTCAATCTGCAACACACCGCCCCAGAGCCCAAAGTTGTCGCCTTGGCTGTGAGCCCAGCCCAGGTGCTCACTTTCAGCCCTAGTTACAAGGAGCCCGGGACCCACGCATACTCTGTGGGTTGGGACTCTAGGGACAAAAGGATGTCCTGGGGCGGGAGCTGAGTGGGCGCTGTCTTGGGTACTGACCTCAGGTCCCGGAGCCTCCGAGGCTCGCGTTGCTCTAAGAGACAACGAGGGGTTCGCTCAACAGATTGCCTACAGCCTGTGAGCTCCAGACGGTGTTCGGATGGCAGAGGGCGCCCGGGCTTTGCGCCCAGATCTCGGCGCTCTGGCTCTGGGAATGGGACTGAGAGGTCCTAAGAGGAGGGATGCGTGCAAAAGAAGGGACAGCGCGGCAGCCCGAGGGGGTCCGGGGCGAGGGGAATACTGACCAGCTCCTTCTCGTGGGAGGCATCCTCCACGGCGGAGTAGATGTCCAGGGCTCGGGGCTGGAGCTCAGCGTCCTCCTGGGCACGGGCGCCCAGCAGAGGTAGCATCAGTAGCAGGGCGGCGCCCAGGAGGGACAGCAGCCGCAGGCGGGGGCTCTCCATGGTGCTGAAACTCTCCGCTGCTGGGGCACCCCGCGCTCCCGCCTTTTATAGCGAGCCAGAGCCCGGGTGCAGGGGAAAGGGAGGGGGCGAGGAAGGAAGGGGGTGTGGAGGAGGACCCGGGTCAACCGTCTGTCGGCAGCGCTCCGCCACCGCTTGACGTCAATGCCCGCCGAGCTCCAGGCACCCGGGAACGAGGCTCTGTGCTCAGATGGGCTAGAGCAGAGAACAAGACCCCGTGCCCCCAAACGCTGTCTGCTCCGTGGCAAGGAACGCTCCCCAGGGGGACTGAGCTGCCGCTAAGGGGTAAGGGGTAAAGGATGGAGAGCGGAAGGGACCCAGGTAATAGAAAAAGCCTTCGGGCAATGCGCAGGAAGGAGAGTCCCTTCTGGTCACCTAGTCACCTAGCACTGGTGGAAGCTGAACAATCCACCTTGTCAGCCCTGCCTTGCCTCTCACCTGACCCTCAGTGTGGCAGCAAGAAGCAGGTGTTGCTCCAGACAGGCATGTTGGCTGGGCACCTGACTAGGCACTCTGTGTGGCAGAAGAGGCAAACAGTACATAAAAGAAAGAGAAATGGTGCCCTCCCCCACGATTCTTTGATGGAATCTGTGCAGCAATAATGAAGACAAGAGAGAGAAACAGACTAACTCCAATTCACCAACAGTGTGGGTAGTTCAGAGAATCAGATTCTGGTTCCAGCCCCCTCCTCCATGACTTATAAATTCCATGACTTAGAACAGAATAAAGAACCTCTCTGAGATTTTGCTTTTCTTCCACAAAACAAATTTAAAAGATAAACCTCACAAAGTTATCAGGAGGATGAAATGGAAGATAAGTGTGTAAAACTTCTGGCCCTTAGCACAACAAACTCTAAGCCTCCCTTTGAACCTAGAGACTGCCCAAGTATTGTGCAATATCTCAGCTTTTCCCAAGAGCAAATTTCTCCATCAGAGAACCTCTCTTACTCTCCACCCCTGGTTCCCATGAAGCCTGTCCAGAAAGAAAGTGAAGGGGTGAAAAAAACACCTTCCTGATTATAGAAATAACTCGAGATCAGAAGCTAATGGTGAGCCAAGTTCTTGGTGACTTATGAAGACAGTGGGGTTTTTGTTGTTGTTTGTTTGTTTGTTTTTGTTTTTTAAGTTTAGGGTCTTTATAGCCAGAATGCAAATGAAACTTCATGTAGGAGAAGTGAGGTTTTCCCTCTTAGACCTAGACACCTATCCCACCTGTTTGCCCACCTAGCTTCTTCTTTTACCACACCCTCTTTCCCTCAAAAACTCCTGAACTCATTCACTCTCTCCAGCCCCATCACTCCAGCCCTGGTCATCTGCCCAGCCCACTTAACATCTACCGTGTAGTACCCACTCCATCTTTACTTACCTTGCTCTATCCATTTTCACCATCATCCAGAGTGTTTTCCCCCTTACTATGCACTAATAATTTCTCTTCATACTAAGTGTTGAATCTAAATTCTTCACCCTGTCATATGCAATACCACTCTGCTGCAGCCTTCATTCCAATCTCACTGGCCTTCATTGGGTTCTCTACTAGGTCAATCTCATTCCTACTTTGATGCCTCTGCACCTTTCTAACCTGGAACTGTCTTTCTGCATCTCTAAATGGCTCACTGCTTATTGTAACTTAAATCTTACTTTAAATGTTCATGAGTATTTATTCTGAAGTATCTATCAATTTAATCTTCCACAAATGTATTGTTTAACTGAGTATGTGGGTCATTGACAGAATTAATACATGTACTTCAATTATCAAGTATTTGTTACCCAAATGAACAGTAGGAAGCAAATCAAGAAATAATCTCTCTTCTGCTAAACAGAACACATATTAACAACATCAAGATATTTTCTTTCGGCTAAATCCATCCTGAAATGTATCTAGCCCCTCCCCCATCTCTGTCTTTCACATTTACCTTTTGATTCTACACAATAAAACTTCAGTGGCAGCACATTTTACCATTTAAACCTCACACAGGAAGAAATATTTGCACTCACTGCAAAGCTATCTCCAGTGATCTTAAAAGTAATCAGTGTTGGGCTGGGATGTGGCTCAAGTGGTAGTGCGCTCGCCTGGCATGCATGTGGCCTAGGTTCGATCCTCAGCACCACATACAAATAAAGATGTTGTGTCTGTCGAAAACTAAAAAATAAATATTAACAATCTCTTCTCTCTCTCTCTCTCTCAAAAAAAAATTAAAAATAAAAAAGTAATCAATGCTACAGAAAAAAATAACTTCAAATAAAATTTTAGCCTATCCTTCCACAAAGGAAGTGGATATCTCCAATACAATTCTTCTCTCAAGTTCCTTCCCAGACACAAGTAGTGATTTTCCCCTTGTACCACTTCTATTGGAAAAGCAACTCGAAAGTTCAAACCCTTGTGCTGGGGTTGTGGCTCAGTGGTAGAGCACTTGCCTTGCATGGGTGAGGCCCTGGGTTCGATCTTCAGTACCACATAAAAATAAATTTAAAAAATAAAGATATTTTTAAAAAGAAAGTTCAAATCCTGCTGATATTCTGTTGGTGTAATTATCTTCATGTAAGAAGACTATGTTTAATTGAGGGATTGGGTAAAGGACTCCAGGACAATCCTGTGAAGCAAGGATTGAGCATTTACATATCACAATTTTTTTCCCTCTTGAACAGAATAAATTTATAAACAGTCTTGAGGAAGCATAGTAGAGTAAAGCTGCTTTGGCCATTTTCTTCCCAAAGACAATTTATGTAAGTTATAACTTTAGTCAAAAGCATGAGATGCATCACAGTTTACATCATGTCCTGTCAGGAGAATTTCTATATTCTTGCTATTTTGTCATGATTCCATTAGAGGGAAAATCGCACTTTTGATGCCCCATGCTAAAATAAGTCAAAATTGAATTTAATCACTGCTTCTCATCCCAGATATAGGAAAGGAAAGCAGGTCACCTCACAAGAGAAGCAAAGACCAACATATGTCTATAGAGATTTACTGTGGGCAAACCTCTCTTAATCACTCCTCCTAAGATAGAGTAGGCCTCCAGTTCTGCTCTTTGAAATAGCTCAAGTAGAGAAATCTCATCATCCAAGAGCCAAGAAGTTGGCGCCAGTAAGATCTACTTATAACATTCTGGTCTCTGAGAAGAAAATTTAAAAGGTTGAGAAAACCTCTTCTTACTCATGTCTATCTCTTGGAACTTTAAAACTTTCACTATAAAAATAACCCATTAATTGATCTGTAAMTTGGCAAGAGTGCAGAGACTACCTTGGCTTTGGTCAAAACTCCCTGAAAATATAGAGGTTAGTCTATATTTCACCAAGAGCATTAGAAGGTCATGGCAATGAGACACCAAAATTATGTCTTTCCCAAGCTTCAGTATTTCTCTCTCCCTCTCTTCTTCAATTTTGAATAATTTTTTTCCTATACAGCCCAAAATAGCACTGACCTTTTAGATTGTCAGAATGTTCAAATGTTCACTCCCGACCACGTCTTGTTCATCAGTAAAATTCAATTTCATTGAACTCTTAAATATTTGTATTTAAGACTGTCTCTTTACTTGTGTTAGCTGCACTTTCCTCCAAGTTAGACATCACTCTGTTCTCATTGGTACACATCTGTAAGCTCTTAGGTGGCACTCTTTTCATTTCTATGTGATCTGCTTTCCACTCTCCTTGCTTCTGGAAGAGGGATTAATTCCCTTTGACATTCATCTTCTGTTTACCAACTTTGAATTCACAGTTTCCCAAAGGAACTGCTATTTGCTGTGTTCTAGCTAAACATCTTCATTACTATCTGGAAAATAGTGATCTGCAAGTAAAGGAGACTTGGAATTGGGGCTAATTGATGGGATGTTAGAGATGTAGTAGTGAAGAACATGTGCTTTGCAGGCAGTCTTTTGAAGAAGCAAAGCAGGGGAAGTTAGGTAAACCTTTTCATTAAGTGTTTTAAGCTTTCAGTTAAACGCTTGAATTTTTAAAAGTCTTTGAAGCTTCAAAATTGCTTTCTGTTATGCCATATGGCTAATTTCTTGGGGTATCCTAATTGGCTGCTTTACTGCTAATACTGTTTCAGGAGTGCTCTGGATAGCTAGGTTGTAGGGATGAGGAAGTGTCATGGGAAACAAGATCAGTAAAATATAAAAAGTTGAGAGTGGCAACAGATAGTTTCAAAACTTCAGTTCACTGAACAGGAGGTAGAAACATAGATGAAGCCAAAGAATTCCATTTTTCAAATACTAACACTGAAAGCAAGCTTTTTTTTTTTTAACCTACAAAGTCTAGCCTAAGAAAAGTGTCCCCTGTCAGAATAGAGAAGCATCACTAGGCAAGAGAAACTTACCTCAGGGCAAGAAAAACTTTCCCTGGATCCCATCGTAGCATACTTGCTGTAGCAGTGCAGATGGAGGGGCACATTTAACACACCCTTCCTATGCCATGGTTATCCCCAACTTCTCCTCTAACCTACCTTGATCCAGAGGTTCCAAGCTTGTAGAAATTAGAGTATTAGCAGTAAAGCAGTCAATTGGATACCCCCAAAATTAACCATATGGCTTAACAGAGAGCAATTTTGAAGCTTCAATGACTATTTATTGCCTGTAGGTTCAGGTCAACTTCTAAGCTGATGTCAAAGTTTCTTATAATATATATGGCCCTGAATATGTTTCCAAGCTCATTCTCCTTCACTCCCAACTCCCAAGTCTTATCACATCTTGTATTTTATTTTACAGGTATACCATAATTATTTCTTGAATTTTTCATTGAATTGGAGGGATAGACTAGATTCTGCTGCTGTAATAAACAACTCCCAAATCTCAGGGGTTTGGGAAAAACACAAGTCTATTTTCTCACTCATATTACATGTGTATCAAGAGTTGATGGGGTGTTCTGTTCTTCGCAGCCACACAGAGACCCAGACCGACAGCACAGCCACATCTAAAGTTGCTGGTTTTGTTTCCAAAGGAAAAAGGAGCGCTGGACAGTCTTGAATGAGCAAGACTGGACCCAATAGTGATCCTTCCCTTTGCTACCAACTCAGGAGCCTGAACTAGTCATGTGGACCTAACAAAGTCAAAAGACTAAGAAGTGCAGTTTTAACATGTGCCTGCTGGAATACAGATATTACAGAATAGTACTGTCAA